GGAAAATGCTAGACTATATTAAAAGAGATGTGTTTGGTTATTTAGGAAATAATTGTTTGGATAAATTCAACGTGAATTTATGAAGAGGAAATCCTGCTTGACAAAACTGAGAATTTGAGGATGTTTCTAGCAGATTCAATTAAGGGACTGTTGTGGATAAAGTGAGCTTGGATTTCTGGAAGGCTTTTGATAAAATCTTGTTGGCAGGTTAGCAAATAACAATAAGGTGCATGGGATGGGGGTAACATACCAGCATGTTGAGGTTTAAAGAGTAGGAATAAATGGGTCATTGAGATTAGTAGGCTGCAACCGGTGGGGACCACAGGGATCAGTGCATGAGTGCCAGCTGTTCAGTCTGTATTAATGATTAGGGTGCTGGAGCCAATTGTAATATTCCCAAGTTTAGCACAAATATGAAACTTGTGGGATTTTGAGTTTGGAGATAGATGCAAAGAAGCTTCGAGGGGGTTTAGACGGGCTTAGTAAGTGGTCAAGAGCATGACCAATCCAATATAATGTTAATAAATGTGAAATTATCCACCATGGGTATGGAGAATGAATGAATGTCCAGAATATTTCTTAAATGGAGAAAGATTGGAATGTACAAGTTCATAAGTAGCTAAAAGCTAGAATGCAGGTGCAGCAAGCAATTCAAGTCAAATGGTATGATAGCCTTTATCACAAAAGGATTTGAGTACATGTACAAAAGTCTTTCTTCAATTGTATGGAGCAGTGGTGAGAACACCTCATGTACTGTTTGCAGATCTGGTTCCCTTGCCTAAGAAAAATATGCTTGTCATAAAGGAAGTGCTGGGGAAGCTCTCCAGACAATTGCTGAGGTGTTGATATTGTCCTTTAAGGAATAGTTGAGGAGACTGGGCCTGTATTCTCCGAAGTTGAGAAGATTGAAGAGTCAGCTTGTGAAAATTTCAAAATTCTTAAAGGAATAGACAAAGTAGATACAGAAATGATGATTTCCTTGAATGTGGGATCTCCGACTAAAAGGCTTGCCATTTAGGACTGAGATGAAGAGGAACTTCTTCACTCAGGGTAGTACATCTTTGGAATTCTCTCCCCAGAGGGTGATGGAAATTTTGTCATTATTTTAAGATGGAAACTAAGATTTCTAGTTACTAAAGACCTTGGGAAATAGGAATAATGCAGGAACATGGCTTTGAAGTAGGTGATTGGCCATAATCTAGAATGTTGGAGCTGAGGAATGAGGATTGAATAGTCCACCCCCTCTGTGATCCTTTGTTCCTATAGTATTGGAAAGCCTTGATGTCTTGCTAAAAAGACGTGTTTGATGTCAAAGTCTTTTTGAGAAACTCATCATTGCCTCATGATGTCTCAGATTGGACCAAACTATTTAACCTCGTCATGATGTTTGGTCTCTGAACTGAGTTTCTCACCTCATAGCCACACTGTCAGAACTAAGCTAATGCTATTTGCCATGCTGTCTTTATACACAGCATACTTTTGGCTTCACCTCACTTCCAGTGTCCTTTAACTGATTATCCGTTATCCATTCTCAACAAATTCCAGATATTTATGAATAATGAATTATGAATAATGAAAAAATCCTTTACATGTGAAGGATATTATTAAGCTGGAGAGGGTTCAGAAGAGACTTACCAAGATGTTGCTGGTATAGAAGGTTTGAGTTATGAAGAAAGGCTGGATAGGTTGGGAGTTTTTTGACTGGAGCGTAGGAGGTTGACACGTGACCTTAGAGGTTTATAGAATCATGAGGGGTGTAGATAGGGTTAATGATGGGTGTCTTTTCCCTAGGGTGGGGGATTTTAAGACAGGGGCATATTTTTAAGCTGAGAGGAGAGAGATTCAAAAAGACATTGGGGATAACTTTTTTAAGCAGGGTGGTTCACATGTGGAATGAATTTCCTGGGGAGTGGTGAATGCAAGCACAGTTGGTGTTTGAAAGACACTTAAGTACATGAATAGGAAAAGTTTGGAGGAATATGGGCCAGAAGCAGGCAAGTAGGACTAGTGTATTTTGGAATTTTGTTCGGCATGGACAGGTGTGACAAAGTGCTGTATGACACTGTAGTTGTGAAACTGTGAAACTTTGAAACTTTCTGCTCCAGAGGACTGTGGATGCTCAGTTATGTTCATCAAGGACAAGAGTGTAGAGTTGAAAAAGAATACCAGTCATAATCTTCATGAATGACAAAGCAGTCCTGAGGAACCATATAGTCTACCTCTGCTATTATTTTCAATTTCCTTGAATTCTTGGGTTTATATCCAGTTCAGCATCAAATCTCACTAGCTGCTTGGTGTATTTTTCTAAATAGTTCGTGTCTTTAGTCCAGTAGAATTATTACAGCATCAAGGAAGGCCATTTATCCCATTGATTGCTTGCTGGCTCTCCTGAGGACCAATTCATGTAATTGTCACTCACTCACCCTCTCCCACATTCCCTGTACATTCCCCTTTCAGATATGTGTTTAGAAAATGTTAAAAAACTTAGGTAAAAACCATACTGAATCTAATCCTGAATGAGGGAGTGGAAAGACTAACTAATATAGCTGGTGAACATCTGGAGAATAACCTCAGCAGTTATTTAAGAGTGTTCTGTTAGACCTAAATGTTCTCAATAAGGAAAAAAGGCCAACAGATGGAAAAGGCACTAGTCCAAAAAAGTCGGTAAATAAGATCATATATAATGAGATTCATAAACAAGACATGTTAGGATATACACATACTTTTAAAGACATATCTGAGAAACCTAGGCAAAAATAATTTTGTGCATAATTTATCAACAGCGTCAAATAAAGATGAATATTAAGTATAAGAAATATTAAATGATCGTTTTACCTAAGTTTCCAGAATATACAAATAAATGGATATAAGAGAAGGAAATGGAGAATTTGATAACTGGATATGGCAGTAGTGCTGAAGAAAAATGAATATAATTGATGGCACCCTGTTCCAATGGCATTCATTTTCCAAATGCTGGCAAACTGGGAGATCAAATAACAAGAGGTTCTAACAATCTTCAGATCTCCTTGGGTATGTAAATTTTGCCAGAATGTCATGGGGTTTGTATTGTCTGATTTTTAACTGATTTGGTTAAGTTTCTACCACCCAGTATACAGGCTAGAAATACTGGTTAATTAAGGGCTGTATGCATGAATTTGTAAGGGCTAAATTGCATCTGAGAAATTGAGCAAAACCCCTGAGAAATTTCTTTGATCGAAGTACCATGTTTATAGGAGTATGATTTTTAAATTGCATGTGAGGATGTTTTTGAATTAAGTTAATGCAAATTATAAGAGTGGAACAGCCTAACTGAAAAAGTTGATTTGAGGGCAGAAGAATGGTAACTAATGTATCTTCAGAGTATTGAAATCTAAATGGTGGCCTGTAAAGGTTAATTTTTGGATCAATGACCATTCTATTTTTGGCTTATTGAGAGATGGATAGGCTGCCTACTGTTAGATAAATAAGTCAGTCATGACATTTATAACAGAAAAGGACATTCCACTCCAAATTGGTATCGCCCCAAAAAAAATACTTACCACTTTCTGCATCCCAGCTGTTGGTTGTTGTACTTCATGTTGCATGTACGATTACTTTTTTTTCTAGAGATGCCTCTACCATCCATTGACGCAGTGAGTCGTCCTTCTCCCCCCACACATAAACATAGCACCCACCCACCAGAGTCAAAAGCATCTTTTAATCCCACCTGTTAAAGTATGTGATATTTGGAAAGACTGAAAAATATGGAGGAAAGAAAGTCAGCCATCTTATCAGTATGAGTGCCAATAATAGAAAGGGAATGGCCCATGATCTGAAAAATAATTTTGGTTTTGAACTGGAATTGAAGGAAGAAAATTTCTGGATCACTCTTTCAACCACATGTCAGTATTAGTCAGTAATATTAGAAAGAAAGTTACTATTTCAAGCAGAATTTGCATCAAATCTGGGAACATGAGAGCTGTTCTACAAAATGCAATGGCCAAGTGGGGAATAGGAAAACAAACTCATCTTCATTTGGAAGGAAAGTCGGGAAATTAAAAACAAAGTAGCAAGGTAGGAATAGTTGAGCTTAAGTACATAAAATAAGGTGCATAAGGAATAAAGACAGTGGAGAAAGAAACTCCAATCTAACAAAAGTGTCAGAAAAGAAATGTGTTAAATACAAAAAACAGTGGAGTGTATACACTGCAGTGATCAGGACTGAAGGGCAGTAAGTTGAACAAGTAAAAAGATCATTAAACACAGGAAAATGGTAGGAGTAATGAAAATGGGTATGCATGCTGTTGAGAGGATGTGTGTCAGTGGCGATGTGGCTAGAAATGAAAGATAGACAAAAGATTATTATACTAGTGAGGTGCTAGAAACCTAATTGGTTAGAAAGCTGCAGACAAATCCAGGTGGTGATTTTTGGAATAAGAAAATTAATGCTATAAAAATTTGAATTACTCATTCATGACTGGAACAAGGATGGAATGAATAGAAGGATGGAATGAATCTCTAAATGACATGCAGCATTCATTCCTTAAATATGCTTTGTCATTCTAAAGCTAATATATTTTTCTTGAGCTGCAGCATCCAAAACTGAATTCAGACTCCAGGTGGGCTCTAATGAAAGTTTCTGCATAACTGAAACATTGCTTCCTCCCTTTGGTGTTTCAACCCTTGGGTTCCATTTATCATTTGATTACTTTTTGTACTTGAGATTTATGGACACGGACAGCCAAATTACTTTTCCACGTTTCCTGAGGTCTTGCATTGACACGTGGGAAAAGAAATGTGATTGTTCTCAAGTTTTTTCAGGCGTGTTAAGAGATGTTGATATTGAAAAAATGTTAAAAGACGCAGCATTCTTTAAATCTGCTTAATTTTGATCTAAAGGTAGAGCTCATAATTTACCTATTGTGTTTAAACTGCAAATTTGCAAGTCAGTCATGCATATAAATTTTATACAGGTTGCAACTGGTAAAATTGAAATACTGAAACTCGTTATTTTTATACAGGAAGATGAGAAATTTTTGACTGAACTGTTTGCGCAGTTAACAGATGAAGCAACAGATGATGACAAGAGACGTGAATTAGTAAGTTAACCGTTGAATTTGAAAAGTTGTGTATTTGCACAAAATGGTTTACTTCACAGTTTGGAGCTGGAGGAGCACAGCAGGTCAGGCAGCACGATGAATGGTGTAAACCTAAAATGTCAACTTTCCTGCTCCTCCGATGCTGCCTGACCTGTTTTCCTCCAGCTCCACACTATATTGACTCTGACTGTAGCATCTGCAGTTCTTGCTGTCTCCATGGTTTACTTCACAATTATTTTTCTCTGAAACATAGGTGAACTTCTTTAAGGAATTTTGTGCATTTTCTCAAACACTGCAACCTCAGAACCGTGATGCATTTTTCAAAACGTTGGCGAATTTAGGAATACTTCCAGCTCTTGAAATAGTTCTGGTAAGAATGGACTTTTCTTTTTAGTAGTAATCATTTAATTAAAACATTGAGGAAAGGAAGTGTCCATAAAGTTATTTATCCTCTTACTCGGAATTGAACCTCTACTCCATCACTATTCAGATGTTATCTGACCAAAGCAACAACAATGGGCAATTTTGTGACTGCTTAGTAGTATAAAAGCAGTGATACCTTCCATATGTGACATTTGGTGGTGCCAATATTGGAAAAAAAAAGTTGGACGGATGCTTCCTAAGGCGAAAGAGGCTACAAAGCTGAACCTATAGAAATTAGGATTGAATATTTTACTATCTGATCCGTGGCTGTCACAAAAAATAATTGCGGTCCTTGACGCAATGTGGAAAGGACAATGTACTCCGAGCTTCATATGGTTCTTTTCAGATGAATCATTGCTTAGGCCGCAGGAAGCAAAGAATAAGGATAAATGTGTCTCCTTCAGATTTGCAATGTGTATTGAGTGAAGTTGCACAGGGTTTAGTCCTGAGTGCTCACCATAATCTGTTAATGATTTGGATGACGGAACCAAATGTAGGTTAGGCAAATTTGCTAGTGAGATAGTGTCTGCAAAATGATACACATGGGTTAAGTGAATTGGCATATTTATGTAATGTAGGTGAATGTGAACTTGTCCATTTTGGCAGCTGGAATTGAAAAACAGTGTAGTATTTTAAATTGGGAGAGATTATACATGCCAGTGCAAAGGCATATTGATGTTCTGGTACAGGAATCACAAAGTTACTATGCAGGTATAGTAAGTGATTAAGAAGTTTATTGCAAAGGAAATGGAATATTAAAGTAGAGAAGTTTTACTGCAATTGTACAGGGAGATGATGAAACCATGTTGGGAGCACTGCATACAGTTTTGGTCTCGGGTTGTTGACTTGCTCACCGAGCTGACTTGTTCTCGTTCAGACGTTTCGTCACCATGCTAGGTGACATCATCAGTGGAGCCTCCGATGAAGCGATGTTCTTCTACTCCGCTTGGAATTTGTACTGTTTGCTCCATAATGGTGAGTAGTGTCATTTCCGGTTTTGATCTGTATGGGTTTGTATATGGCATATACTAAGAACAAGCCAGCTCGGCGAGCAAGTTGGCAACCTCCCCCACAACCCGAGCTACAGATCTTTGCCAAAACCTTTGAGTTTTGGTCTTATTTGAGATAACTGAAAAGATCAGAAAAGATTCACTCCGCTCCCTTCTGGGGTGAAGGGCTCATGTTAGAACAAAGATTGATTAGTTTAGGCCTATACCCATTGAAGATTGGAAGAATGAGAAGTGATTTTATGAAACAAATAGCTCCAGAGGGAACTTGATACTGTGGATACCCAGGGGATGTTTCCCTTTTTAGGGAAGAGACTCAGACGAGGGTGCATATTTTAAAATTGAGGTCTCCCATTGAGACACATTAGATTTTATTTTCTGAGGACCTTTAGAATGTGAAATTCTCTGCCTCAGAAGATCGTGGAAACTGGGCCATTAAATTATTCAAGGCCGAGTTAGATTTTTGATATACAAGGGAGTTGAGAGTTATGGGACGCAGACAGAAAAGTAGAGCCCTGACCGTAACCAAATAAAATGATCTTTTTGAATGGCAGAGCAGTTTCAAAGGGCCACCAAGACCCATTTTCCTGGTTACTTGCTGAGGTTTTATCTTTGAGCCCCTCAAGTTTGCTCTTTGCTTCTGCAGGTGTTTGCTTTCAGTTTTCAATTGATCAGCAGTAAAACAGAAGGAAACTAGTCGATTTATTGCTATCTTTTTACTGGAGTGTGGCTTTGGGCCTTCAAAATGATCACCAAATTTTTGGTGTACATACAACTTTAGAGCTTAATAGGGAGTGGTATTATTCATATTTCCGTTGTACTTTTAATTCTTTAGGCCAGCAATTTACCTGATTCCACAATTATTTTTAAATGAGGAGCTGCAGCCCTCAAGTATTGCAGTTTTGGATTAACCACAAAGAGCAAAGAATAGATCACAACCGCCTTGATCTTCTAGCAGTTTGTATGTGGGCCACCTAAGCCATTTCAGCATTCCTATGTTGTATCTTTTTGTCGTTCTGCCAGAAACAATTAGTTTGATATCAATTAATTATTTATCTTCAGGTTTTTTTTGCATTGTGTTCACCTTGGAGTTTTGAAATTTCTCAATAACTGATGGTGATTTTTTTGACGTAGTGCTTTGATCTGTACATACATTTGGGCTGCAAATTATGCATATAGTTGGGCTTTGTCAGTAAGTTGCATCAAATGTTTTCAAAGTTAAGAGATTAGCAAGACCTATTAAAAGACTAAGTTGCTAGAAAATACTCAAAGGAAAAGGTAATTAAGCTTTCTGCACATTTTCAATGCAGAGAAGCAAACTTAGACATGTAGTCTGCACAAACGTTTTTAAAAAAATATTGAAAGCAGTTATCCACCTAAGGTAGATTAGCTTTAGCAATGGTCTAGGAGGCAATGTTAATTAAAATGAAATGAAGTAGAGCGAGAAGAAATGGTCAGGTGTGGAAACAGAAATTGCTGGAGAAACTCCACAGGTCTGGTAGCATCGCTGGACTCAAAATGTTAACTCTGCTTTCTTCCCACTGATGCTGCTGTACCTGGTGAGTTTCAGTAGCAGTTCATTTTTGTTTCAGATCTCCAGCATCCTAAGTTCCTTGTTTTATTATAGAAATGGTTAGGTGATGGCTTCAAATGTTTGTTTATTTTGAGGGGAAGGCAATTCAATTTTGTTTTAAATAAGCGCTTTTCAGGATGGAGCTGGCTGTGTTATTGAGATGGAAGTAGTTTGGGAAATTAAATACAATGAGGTTTGGTGAGATCAGCAGGTGCAGCAGAGGACAAATTAGTTTATGCGTTGCATATCTTTTTACATTTAGCATAGATCTCTGTTCTTAGAGCCTTCTACTAATTGCGTGTGAACTATCCAACTGCTATACATCTAGCTGCTATAACGCTGTTCTTACAGCTGTATCACACTAATACTGATCAGATCATTTTTTTTGCCTCATGCTAACAATGTGCTTAAGCAAGAAATGCCATTTTGCACCTTTTGTATTATTTGTTTCCATTCCAGTCATTGTTGGGGCCTTTGAGTAGGATCACCACTTTGCTAAATTATGAGCACTTTTGTGTAAGAAGATTGCACAATAACTTTGTCACCCATTTCACTTAACAGTTTTTTTATTCATTCATGGGATGAGGGCGTTGCTGGTTAGGCAGCATTTATTGCCCAGAGGGAGGTTAAGAGTCAACCACATTACTGTGGCTCTGGAGTCAAATGTATGCCAGACCAGGTAAGGATGGTAGTTCGTTCCCTAAAGGACACTATTGAACCAGATGGGTTTTTCTGACAATCGACAATGGATTCACGGTCATCACTAGATTCCAGATATTTATTGAATTCAAATTCCACCATCTGCCATTGCGGGATTCGAACCCAGGTCTCCAGAACATTATCTGGGTCTGTGGAATAACAGTCCAGCAATGGTACCACTAGGCCATCGCCTCCCTTAGAATGTTGTTTTGAAGCACTAAATGTTCGTGTTGTTACTGAGCCAACTTTATTTTTCAAGTATACTTTCGACATTAACATTTCAAAAATAAAGAAATGTACATATTTGACATGATTTGTCTTCAGATTTTTGAACATTTGGACGTGTGCTATTGCAGACTACTTTTGTTATGTCAAAACATGTTAGCATCTCTTCAAAAATAATCAATTATTGTACTCAGTAATGGTTCCATGCTTTGTGGTACAGATTTGTTCAATATTTATAAATTTTTGGCAGAAGTAATGGATGGCCTAGTTCTGGATTATTTTGTGTGAAATTGCTTAACATTTTAGCAGAAGTAATGGCAAGCATGGATGTGCAGTGGCTGTCCTGGATCATATAGCCAATGAGCTCTGGGGCAGTATGTTCAAGAATGCTGATCACACTGAAAATTATGTTTCTTTCTGCATATTTCTTCATTGTTTTATGCTGTTTTAATTTTGAGAGTTCAGAAGTTTAAAAATCATTCGTACTGGTGTTAGCTCATTAATAGATCACTGTTCAATAGCTCGCAAGAACTGAAGCAAATTTTGACAAATTTTTTAAAAATGGAATATTGATTCAATTTTTGTATCACTTGTTCTTTAATGTGTGTCTGTTAAATCCAGAATAGCTCAATGCTTAAAGATTGAACATTTTTTTGCTTAAAGCTGGATAGGACATTTGTTAAAACTGTGGATTAAAGTTAAAATGACAAATTAGGCTAGTCTAACATTGATGTTGTACTGCTTGATTTATGTCAATGAGGTGGTGTATATTGCTGGAAGATACAATAAGTTTTCCACAGTAAAACTCAGAAGAAAAAATGATGTAAATGGAAATGCTGCTCGTCTGTTCTAGGAGACCAGATCATTAAGAAGTCCTGAAAAGCCTTTTGGCAAATGAACAGAATTAAATAACTGTTAACTTCTTTCAATATGGAATTGAAAATCTACCTTTTCTTTTAAAATTGTTCATAAGCAGCTAAAAATATTTTTTTACTTCAGGATCATTAGGTTATGCAGGTCCTTTGAGTTATATATTCTCTTCTGTCACCTCAACTAGGGTTTAGAACCATTAGAGAATCTATATCTGGAGTTCTATCTATTCTCTTCTATACTGGTAGCTAGAGGATGTTTCACCTGATGCTGTGGTTGGATTGTTCATTTTTATTTGTTGTATATCTTTTCATTTCTAAGAGTAGAAAAATGTGACCTTCCACTGTTATCATGGGGGTGGAAATAATAAGTTAATTTGTGGCAAATGTTAGAGCAGCTGTATCTTAGTTCTTGAATCGTGTGCAGAAATGTATGATGATTCACTATTGGGGGTGGGTGTGTTACTAACTTCGAAATTCCTCGTTGGTATATTCTAACCCTTGTTACTACCATAAGAATAGTAATTTGTGTTCACTAGTTCACTGAACATTTTGGTTTTTGCGATTGGTTTTCTTTGTGGTAGAAATGCCGTGTTTTTTAACCGCTTGATGCATAATTTTAATTTTCAATTAAATAGTACATTTATCTTGCTTCTTTACAGGGCATGGATGACGCACAGGTGCGAACTGCCGCTACAGACATATTCTCCTATCTAGTAGAATATAGTCCATCAATGGTACGTGAGTTTGTAATGCAGGAAGCTCAGCAGAGTGATGATGTAAGTATTTGTCCTTTTGGGAATAACCTAATTCTGTTTCATTGAAGAGCTGGATATGCACTACAACTGTTGACTTTTCTTTAGGGTGTTTAAATGATTTATCAGATTTGTGTAACTGTTACCTTCACTGCACTTTCTACGTAAATTAGCTGAAAAGTCACCCACTGTATTTTCTGGGGTTATGAATATCTGGTCAGAAAATACTTGTAAACATTTCGTTGTCCTTGTGAAAAGTATCTAATCTTAGATTATATTACCAGGTGCAAGGGCTTCTGTTAACAAACAAATTGTAATATTTGGCCCTGGTTACACTTCAGTTCACGATTTTGCCATCCATTTCGTTGTGCATTCATGCCTTAATGTTTATCGTATATCAAATACTGGGCAGAAAATGATTTTGGAAAGTTTCTAGCTTTTGACAATTTCCCAAGAAATTAAACTATTTGTGTGGAAAGTTGGTCTGAGACTTGAATATCAATTGCAAAAATTTGAAGATAGCTCAGGTTTTTGTTTTTATAAAATGAGGCTGAATAGTTTCATACAATTGAACAAAGGTAGTTTACTTTGAGATGATTGTGTCTGATTTCTTCAGCCTTGTGCTGCATTTCGTTTAAAGAAAGGTAAAGTCGTCATAGCTCTATGAACCACTGGACAGCATTCTCTTAGAGAGAGAGCTGGTGGTTTAACCTGAAGATCATTACACCTTGGGCAAGGGGAGGAGGTTGAGAAGGAGAGTCCTTCATGGTAACCTCTGCCAGCGCAGGAATCAAATCCATGCTGTTGGTGCTATTTTGTGCTGCAAACCAGCTGTCCAGCCAGCTGAGCCAACTACATCACCTATGACAAGTGATTCTTGGATTTTCGTGCTTCTGTGTTGATTTGACAGTAACTTCAAATCACAAAACATCTCAGCACTAAATGTTTGTTGATATTTATGTTCTTGTACAGTTATGAGGATATTTTGGTACATGCAGAAGTAACCAACATATCTGTTGATACCAGATTCTGTTAAATTAAGTCATTGACCAAAGATTGACGTGTTACTTTTTAAATGTACCGTAACCATGATTCAGAAGTATTTCAGATATAGTTTGATCACATTAAGACCTGTCTCAAAAATGATACATTTTATAAAGTGCACTTCATGACTACTGGACTTCTCAAAGCATTTTATGATCCATTAGATACCTTTGAAGCATAGTCACTATCGTAAAGCAACTTGAACCAAGCGGACTTTCAAGCAGTAATGTAATAATTATCAGATAGCTGTTTTGTGTTGTTGATTTAAGGGATATTACAACGCCATAAAATATTCATTGCAATACTGTCATAGGATCTTGTAGTTACTTGAGAGGGCATTTTCAGACCTCTGTTTAACTTCTCATTGAAAAGACGTCATGTCCTACAGTGTATTACTCCTTCAGTAATGTATTACAGTCATAGAATCAAAGAATCCTACAGTGCTGCAAGAGGCCATTCAGCCCATCAAGGCACCGACTCTTTGAAGAGTACCTCCCAACCTAATATCCCCATAACCCCACATTTACCATGGATAATCCACACAACTCTGGTCACTGCAAGGCAGTTTAGCATGGCCAGTCCACCTGGATTGTCAGCCTTGATTTGCATGTTCTGTCAGCGTGCTACCAATTGAGCTATAGCTGACATGCCTGAAATTGGGTTCCACTTCCTTGTCAAAGCTAGTTGAAATTTTATCTTGATTAGAAAATCAGTTCCTATTCCAATCCCTAAAATTCCATGAATTAGGAGCAGGAGCAACTAACAGAATAGACATCATGTTTTACTCTAGAATACTGTTTATTCAAATGAATGTGTATCACTTGCAATGGAATTTATGTTTGAACTTAGATTCAATAGAAGAGCAACATTTCATTTAACTTTCAGCAAGCTCATTTGCCAAAACATTTCCATGCCACTGTGAAAGCTAACCAGAGTAATTTACATTTTCATAAAATACTGTCTTCAATCTGGCAAAGTGAGGTTATGCACATAATGCAGAAGCTGCCTGTCAGCCAGATAGGTGCTGGTACTTAAGCCTCAAATATCATAATCACTTCATCTAACCCTGTCAGCTCTTTCCTCCTTGTGTACTTACCTAGTGACCCTTTAAATGTGTCGAAGATTTGATTATCAAATCCTAAATATTTGAGAATAATAAAGGAAATAGGATGCTGGATTATTTTGTCAAATCATTTTGATTTAAATGCCCAGAAAGCTTGGTTAAATGCAGCGCTGTAATGAAATCATACCTGAATTCGTGTATACATGTTCACAATCACCATAATTAAGCTCTAAGGAGACTGTTTTTGACAGAAGAATTATCTGAGGGATCTCTCATTTGGACCATCTTGAGATTAAGCAGTGAACCCTAAGCGCATTTGATTTGTGATGGAATAGAAAGGGTAAGCTCTCGAAAAATACTTTTCTATGTTTAGGGAGCATTTCAAAAGAGCACTGATTAAAAATTGTGAAAGCGAAGCTTAGGATAAACAGTAATAGATAAGACATTGTCAACTAGCAGTATTGGCTGACAGGAATGTCAGTGGGCCAAGATCTTTCAAGAATCAGATGAATATTAATAAAAAATGGTTGGTATTTTGGAAGGATGGGATCAAATGAGGAATGTTTACCATGTGATTTCAGTTAGGGGTTTATTTTGAAACTAGCTATCACTTTATGGCTGCTATTGAATTTAATGCTGACCATTTTTCATTTGTTTCTGTACAGGATATTCTCCTAATTAATGTGATCATTGAACAGATGATCTGTGATGCTGATCCTGAGCTTGGTGGAGCAGTTCAGCTAATGGGGCTACTGAGAACTTTAATTGACCCTGAGAATATGTTAGCTACAGCAAATGTAAGACATTTAAAATATTTTAACAATCTTGGGTAATAGAATGGTAAATATGAACTATATACACTTATTGGGATAATTTGATTTGCAGTTAATGATCTTGTACCTCCAATTGTTTTATAAAAGTAAAGTTCAAATACACTTAGTACGTTGATTTTGATTATAATAGTTCTCCATATTAAGAACTGCACTTCTATGATATGTTGTTATATATTTCTATTTTAGAAAGTCTCAATTATTTTAAAAACTTTTGAGGTTAGTGTTTGAAGGAGTCTGTCTTAAACTCTTGATTACTCATTTACCTCTTAGCCCATGCTTGTTGGCATTATTGATGTACTCCCTTTTGCCCAAGCCTGATTCTCCAGTTTCATCTCTCTCCACAAAATACCACCCCTTCCAACAACCAGCTGCTGTTCCACTTAGTTCCTTGAACTTGTCTCCAGTTCTTTCCAATGCACACTTTAGTTTAAATTCCTTTTTGTCTGTGTGCCTCATCAAGACTGTTGTAGACCAAGCTAGACCATGAATAATATATTATTCCCTCTTTGTTCATTGGAACACAGGAGCAGGAGTGGGGCATTCTGTCTGATTGAGCCAGCTGTGCAATTCAGTATTTTCTTTTTGTTAGACTGATATCACCACTCATTCATCAAAACTCTAGAGAATCTAAGCCCAGTTTCCTAAACTTTCTCTGTTGGACTGCCCTGCCACTCTGGGAACAGATATTGCAAACTTTCTTGCACTCCCTCCATGGATATAATATTCTCCCTTAGGTATAGGAACCAAAACTGCGCACACTGCTCCAGGTATAGTCTAACCAGGGTTCTCTACAATTGAATTAAGATGTCACTACTCCTGTCCTCTCTTCCACTTGTGATAAAGGCTAACATATCATTAGACTTCCTAATTGCTTGCTTGCTGCATCTCCATGTTAGCCTTCAATTACTTATCAATACAGACTGCTAGATCCCTTTGTGCACTGACACTTTCTAATCTCTTACTATTAAAGAATTACTTTGCACTTCTATTACTTCTGCCAAAATGGACAGCTTCACATTTTTCTACATTATATTCCATTGGTCATGTTCTTGCTCACTCGTGAACTCTGTCCAAATACCATTGAAACCGCCTTTCTGCATCCTTAACAGCGCGCATTTCAACCTGTTCACGAATTTGGAAATATTACATTTTAATTCCCACATCTAAATCATTGATATATACCATAACCAACTGGGGCCTTGAGTACTGATCCTTATGATACACCACTGGTCCCAGCCTGCCAATGCGAGACCAACCTATTTATTCCTATTTTCCATTTTCTGCCTGTGGCCAATCCTGAATTCATGCCAGTACATTATCTCCTATTTCATTTGTTTTAATTTTGCTAACCAATTTCGTTTGGGGGACTTCATCAAATGTCTTCTGAAAATCCAAGTAAACAAATGCACCGACTTCTCTATCAACACTGTAACATCCTCAATAAACGCCAACAGGTTTGTCAAAAACTATTTCCTATTGACAAATCCACATTTACTATTGTCCAAGTGTCATTTATCATATCATTATTATAGATTCTAGCCTTTCCCTTACTCTTGAGAGATTCCCTTACTATTTGCCTTACAAAGCAGCTTCGTAATTTTCTTATTTCTCTGTCCCTTCCTGCTTAAATAGTGGGGTGACATTTGCTACCTTCCAATCTCCAAGAACTATTTCAGAATCTGGTAGTCACCCTCAGAAAAAATTCTACAATGTATCCGCTATCGCCATGTGACCGCTTCCAATATTCTAGCATGTAGTGTATCAGGTCCTGGGGACTTGGTCTTTTGTTGTTTGTTTTCTGTAAAAGAACCTTCTTAGTAATACAAATTTTCTTCAAACTGTTTTCATTCTAGACCCTAGACTTGTGCACTGTTGTTCTTCTGGTTTTTCGTTTTGTTGTCTCTAAATTTTGTGGTCCAATATTCAGCTTCTCTTATCCCATCCCCTCCCTCCCCTCCCTCCTCTCCCTCTCTCAGTCCTGTTTTACTTGTTCTTAATTCAAAACAGTTTATATCTTTATCACCTACAAGTTCTTTTTCATCACCTTATTCTACCCAGTGTATTCCATTGTTTAAACATTCCATTTGTCCTGAGTCGCGCATCTCCTGCTGTCCATGCCTTTCCAATTTTGCAAATTATCTGTTATCTCCACCCTACTCCAGGATTTCTCAAAACCCTTGCAATTAGTACCTTTAACATAACAGCATGTTCAAGTCCAACACTGGGTGTTTATTACTGGAGAAGGCATAGAAAAGATTAACTTATTACATGATGTGATTCATGTTTATTTGTTGAGCCCTAGTTTTTACAGATTGCTGATATTTTATCACTATTATTCTTGGGTGTTTATATTACTGCTTTTGATTTTTGAATGTTTTAAATCCATTTTTCAAGTGTTTTCCATTTTTCGGATTTGAAGTATTTACAACGGTTTATCTTATTTGTGTGCTGAACCTTGATTTGAATTCAAAAGTTGCATTCTGCAATTGCATAATATTAAAGTATCAATATTCAATTAAAAAAATTTAAAACTTCAATTATCTAATAGTTAAACTGTCTAATTACCAGCATGTAATCTTGTCATCTTTCTTAGAAAACTGAGAAGACAGAGTTCCTTAGCTTTTTTTACAAGCATTGCATGCATGTTCTCAGTGCTCCTTTGCTGGCTAATACCACAGATGAAAAACACAGTGGTAAAGGTGAGTTTCAAACTCATTCAATTAAAGTCCATTTGCCTTTCCTTATGTAAATACTTACGAACTTCGGAATGTTGATTGTACCTATACTTCATGACATTTGTTATTTCCTGTGTGATTTGTAGGTGGTGCACTAGTTTTTCCATTTGGAGCACTTGAACCTTTAGACACATTTTCCAGCCCAGTAATTCTGCCATATCCCTACTTAAAAACTGGAGTGTTGATTGACACCACTGTCAGCCAATGAATTGGAGGCAAGGTGGGACATATGGCTACCGCATACATTACATGAATAGCAAAACAATCCAAATTGCACTGAGCTAATGAAGCTGTTTGATTAAAGGGACTCCACAGACTGCAGCCAACAGAATTCATAACTTACTCTCAATAAAAACATGGCAATTTCTCCAGCCAATTGTGGTATCTGGAGAATAGTTGCATGAGAATTGTCTGTCCTAGTCACAGGACATTGCAGCCTCCAGATGTGTTGGAGGAAATAATTCAGTCTTCTGTATGCTGTCTGGGAATAGTGGTGCTTAGGTATGCAGTCATTTAAAACGGGGGGTAGATTTTCAACTTGGAGTGCAATTACTGATCAAGAGGTCAAATATGCCTGTTTTCAGAAGTGTGCCCTCCACCAAAATTCTGCTCAAACTCATTTGCATACTGCTCGATGCAAACTTTGCTGTAAATCGGTGGAAACAGGCAATACTTTCAAACTGAATTGGTAATCTGAAATCACCTGGGCATTACTCTGAGTTTAGATATCTGAGAAATTCACCATTTTCGTTAGAAAAATAGATTCTTGATTTGTTTGAGTGGTAACTTCGATTAATGGAGTTGAAAATTGGTTTATCTGTTACAACAAGCATTCTTAATCCATGTCAATCCACCACCTGCAAAATTTTAAATTACTGAATGATTTGCTAATTGTATTGGTGAAATTTAGATGGGTTACATTAATTTGTTTTCAGGCTTTTAAAACTTGTTTAATTATGTCCATTAGTGGCCAAAGGGCCAGTTTAATTTATACACCATCTTCAAAGTCCTGCAAGCAAGCTGTTAACAGAAATTCCAAACAATAATTATTTATTCCTGAGGGTGTGGTTAGTTTTTAGGTGGGCCCAGCTACAGATTAAGGTGATTTGCTTAATTCTCTGAATCTTTTTGATGCCTCTGCTAAATTCAAATGAATAAATCTGTGCAACCGACCAGAAATTCGGCCCCTCGGTTTCAGTTTGCATACAATTGCACAAGATTGTGAGAGTTAGAATCTCCTTGGAGACTGATGACCACTTCTTTAAAAAAATGGGACCCCAACATTACCAACTGAAGTTAACTTATGAAGAAGATTTCACCATCCAGGACTGGTACTGTGACGAGCTAATCGGTGTAGATCAAACATTGATAAACAAGTTACCAGTGCCTCAGCCTAAAGGAGTTACGATTTTGCATTAATGAACTGACAAAGTACAACCTACAAAAAGCTTTTATTCTATGTAACGCTTCTGAAAAATATGTAACGTCAGATGGATGGTCCCAGTGTCACTCCTAGCTTCTTTTGCAAGGATTCACCTCTCGTCACCTATGCTAGCTTGAAACCTCCAAGTGTCTTTCAGCAGCATTTCTATATCACCAGGGAGGCACACCTTAATGATTCTCAGTTCCCAAAATTTTCAAGAACCCCACTGGGTTTTTCCCCCTTTCTTTAGACATAATCTGAGCCCTAAAAGCTTGGCAACACAAACCGTTTTCCCTGCTGCTCCATTGTGCAACTTTTGCGCTCTCTGCTGCCTGCGTTTCTTCTCTCTGAGCCCTGGGAAAGATGCTTAAAACTGCCACTTAATACCTCGATGGATTTCTATTTGTGTTTTTCTCCTATGGTAATTGGGGATCACATGGGTGTTAATCTGAATGCAGGTGTTTGAAGAATTCACCTTTTCTGTTTATAAAAACTCCCACTTTCCTATAAGTTCAAGGGACATTCTTAATGTATTTTTTAAGAGATCAGCATTTGTTACATTTGAGAGCAGATTTAGTGTCCCTTCATTTGAACATATAACTAAACATTTCAATGCAATATCAATTTTTTAGACTGGAATATGGTTCTAAGCAAATTAAATTTAGAAAAAAAAGTATTTTGCAATGATATTAAATTTATCCATTCATTATCTTATTATAGTACCTTAATTAACAATTTGCTTCAGTCTCCCAAGCCTGGAATTGGCAGTTACTTTTCTTGAACTTGATACCTAACAATATCCTTCCAGGGTACATTTTGCCACTCTTGGAGCCTGGAGCTGTTTTATCTACCTGCCAAATCCCCTAAAAATATGGCTACCATACAAATTGTTGTGTATAGAACATAGTTTGAGGCTTTTCTTCTGTATTTCTGCCTGCCCTTGAGAACTGCCGAGCTCTTTAAACTGATTGGTCTGACTTGGTCAAAGGTTCTCCCTAGACCAATGCCTGTAGGGAAAATGCCCTAAGACTAGGCCGAGGAGCCCATTCCAAAAGTACTATTTGAGAAGTTTTCACTCTTAATCACTTTGCAATGAGAATTGTATCTAGATTAGAGCTCGATCTTTAGTAATGGATTCATAAATTGCATGCCCTTGTAGAACTTTAGGGTGGGTCAAGTATCTTGAATTTATTGCTGTCTTTTCCAAGTTATCTAGGTTGATACACTGTATGCCACTCTGTTAGGGAGCGACAAAAATCCAAAGGCAAGTTGAATTGGTATCTGAGCCTTGTTGGCAACTATTAACAAAGTTGGCATAACCAGCACTTGCACATGCTAGTGTTAATGTAGGGATGGAACTATTTATCTGCATAGCTAGGAGTCTGTTGCAGTCTTAGCCTCAAATGGAGCACCAGGAACTGAAATGACCTAAATGATGGTAGCTCATTTTAAATTAAGTAGTCAGTGATGCTTTACTACTGCTGAAAGTTCTTAACTTGTTTTTTAGGAAATATGTTACTTCCTCAAGATGAGATTTAAAATTAACAATAAATTTAGAACAGTATTAAATCTACAGTAATATGGCCTTTTCATCACAAGGATTAGAGATAGAGTTATGAAAGTGAAAAATTGAAATAATTTAAACTATACATACTACAGTGTGGGGACCTCGAGTTTTCTAAATGAATATACTAGGATTAATTTAGTCTTGAGAACTGCATTAACAATTAATGTTTTTAACATAATCCTGTACTTGATTTATTTATTAGATACAGGAATAGATGAATCCAACAGGAATACTGCTTTTTGTTCTGGTAAGTTTCATGTTTATTTATTGAACTGGTGGATTTTGTGTGAATGGAATGTGTCTCATTTGGATTTTAAACGCTAAATAGCAGCAAAGCACTTGCTTAGTTTCTGAAGAAAAAAGTGTTATGTACCTGAATGACTATTGACAAGCTGCTTGAAAGTAGCTGTTAAACAGTTATGATTAGCGATTGCCGGCATAAAACATTTGTAACCTGCAAGATAATTTTCTATGGGTGTTTAGTTTTGCAGAAAGTTGTTTTCAACTATTATGCCATCTAGCTCGTGTTGGCACATCCATTTAAAACAGCAAGAAATATAGTTTTGATGTTAAAGCAATGTTGTAAGTGCATGCTGTGCTTGAGTGGCATGGATTGTCTGTAATTAAATAACTACGTTTTGATGCTAAACAGTTTAGACCAGAAGGTACTAGGCCTCATGAGCTTTGTTGAGCTACTGATAGCAACTAACGTGCCTTTTGGAGTCCTAATATTTAGCTTCAGTGACTTTGAACTATGTTGGCAAAGAATTAGATCATTGTTGTTGCTCTTGATTGCTGTCTTTCACCTGCTAGAAGATGTGTGCGCGCACACATTTGTGTGGTGCTGGGCAGATCATAGAATGATACATCATAGGAAGAGGCACTGCATGCCTATGTAAATAGTTTGGTGGGCTGTCATTTAATCCTGATTCTTTGTTCTTGTATGTTGTTTTAAATTGAGTATTTCCAAGTGTTACTATTGAATCTATTTCAGACAGTGCATTTCAGATCACAGCATGCTGTTTCTTTTAAGTAACTTTATTGTTCCTCTGGTTCTTTTGCCAATAAGCTTACACTTATGTTCTCTGGTCACCAACTTTTCTACCACCAGCAATAGTCTCCTTTACTCTATCAAATTTCCCCTTCACATATTGCACTCCACAGGGTACAGTCATAGCTGCTGCAACCTCTTCATAAGACTCAGGTCTGCCATTCCTGGCTTTATCGTAGTAAATCTTCTCTGTACCCTTTCTGTGACCTTGAATATTTTTTCTAAGTATGGTGCCCAGAATTGAATGCTGCTTTTCAGCTGAGGCCTCGCCAGTTTATGAAGGTTTTGTGTAGCCTTTATACTCACCTCAACTAATGAAGCCATGTCTTGTATGCTTAAACTTCCATTTCAATATGTCCTGGCGTCATCAAAGATTGTTATATACATTCTTGAGACTCTCTACCTGCACTTCCTTCAAAATTATACCATGATCCACTCCCATTAGATGATACATGCAAAATATATATTGCTAATCAGACTTTATTTGAGAAGAATGAAGATACTGACAAGCAGCCAGGACTTTTGAAATTGCAGTACATAAATATCCTGCGGGGTGGTGGAGGGGGGGAGGGGGAAGGAAAGTTATGGTGGTATCTTTAGTGGGAACATTGCACTTCATGCAGTAGTAAAGATGAAAGCTATCTTAAGCAGCTTAAGTAAGAGTAAAACTTAATTTGCACTTGCGCAACATGTTATTAAGTCAAACAAACTTTATCTCTTATTGTATCTGCAAAATATTTATTTGCAAGATATGTCTTTTCAACTGTTTGAGACTGCCAAAATCCAAATATGTTCTGACCTTAGCTTTAAGGTTTTGTGATTGCCCCAATTTCCCACTGATATTGAACACCGGCAAATGATTTATTTTGGGACCCTATCTTCTTTGAAAGAAGAAAGACTTGCATTCCATCGGTCTGGCTTGGTTTTGAACCTAAGTGCCAGAGGTTAAATGCAGCTTTGTATTATGCATTACTCCTTTCACCCTATTTCTGACTTTTTAAAATGATTCCAAAGATGTTACTTTCAAATGTATGACAAAATTTTATTTTTTTTTAGATAACTTCCAGACAGCACAGCTGTTGGCCTTGATTCTAGAGCTACTCACTTTTTGTGTAGAGCATCACACATATCACATCAAGAACTACATCATGAACAAAGATTTACTTCGAAGAGTTTTGGTGCTGATGAATTCAAAACATACTTTCCTTGCCTTATGTAAGTGAACACTTATAAAAGTAAAACTAATGACAGTCTTGGTATTTATCTGTCTTTTATAGAGACATACAGTGTAGAAACAGGCCCTTTGGCCCACCATGTCTATGCCAACCATCTAGGTCAGATGTTAACCAGTGTTTGCCACCTATTTTGACATGTTCTTTAATAATTTATCAGATTTTCATCACATCTATTAATTTGAATAGTAAATATATGTCTGTCCAAGAAACCTGAGTAACTCGGTCAAATTATGATTGGAAGTCCCCCTTCTAATGTTCTTTTGCTGTGATATGGCAGTTTTCATGATTCACTTTAATGTAAGTGGCTCCTATCGTCCACCAGAAGATGGTATTCTCTGTGCACCTAATAAGGCTAGACCAGAATACTTCTGAAATAGTGCAAATTTAGAACAGTAAAAGCTCAAAAATAATTGGTGATCTTGATACAGAGAACATTCTAATCACTCAATTCCTACAGAATATTATGAAAAATATTAAGAATGGAATGTTCGTCCTCTCTATTGAGAACACTAGAATATAAAGCATGGCAAGCCATATTTCCAACTAAACAGAGCACAGGTTAGACAGCACCTGAATTGAGCTGTTGTGGCACCAAAGCTTAGGATGTATTGGCCTTTGGATTGATAAATGGAAAAGATAATTTACATGTAGGATGAAACAAGTGGTCATGGCATGTATCTCTTTCCACAAAGTGGAAAACAACATGGATATTGTAGCTGAGTATAAAATGTTGGATGAAATAAATGTAAGATTTCTAACAGAGACCTATGTGGCACACTAGTCAAAATAATAAGAGCAATTTTTTTGATGAGGTGATCATATGTGTAGGTGAGAGTAGTGCAGTTGATGTAGTTTGTGGGTTTTAGCAAAACCCTTGACAGGGTCCCACATGGCAGACAAACACTGAAAGCAATAAATGCACATGGGATCCAGGGTAACTTAACAAGATGGATCAAAAATTGCTTTCATGGTAGAAGGCTGTTTTTGTGACTGAAGGACTGTATTCGGTGGTCAGTGAATCAGTGTTCATAGGTGGTTTTCATATTGTTTGTGATAATAAACGATATAGATGAGAATTTAGGGGGCATGGTAAATAAGATAACACAAAGATTGGTCAAGTGGTTAATATTGTGGAAGAAGGTCTTAAGTTACAGGAGGATGTAGACAGGTTGGTCAGATTGGCAGATAAGTGGCGGATGGAATTTAACCCTGAGAAGTGTTTGGTGATGCTGTTTGGAAGAAATAAGGAGACAATTGAGTAGTGAACGGCAAGACATTAAGAAGCTCAGAGGTACGGAGATCTCACAGTGCTAGTCCAGAGATCACTGAATTTGGCAGAACAGGTGAATAGGGTAGTTAAAGACACACATACGAGATGCTTGCCTTTATCTTCAAAACTGGTTAGGCCGCAGCTGGACTACTGTGTGTAGTTCTGGTCACTGCACTGTAGTCAGGAAATGATTGCATTGGAGGGAATGCAGAAGAGATTCACCAGGATGTTGCCTATGTCGCAGCATTTTAACTATGAAGAAAGGCTGCATAAGTTCACAGAGATAGTAGGAACTTCCGATGGTTCATTTTCTGAAGAAGGGTCTTGACCCAAAACGTCAGCTTTCCTGCTCCTCTGCTGCTTGGCCTGCTGTGTTCATCCAGCTCTACACCTTGTTATCTCTGCATAAGTTGACGTTTTCTTTTGAGCACAGAAGGCTAAAGGAGGAACCTGACTGAGGTGTATAACATGGAGGAGCATGGACAGAATGTATATGAATAAGAGTCTATTAAGGGAGGCATAATTTTAAGGTGATGGACAGGAGGTTTAGAGGGGATGTGTGAAATATTTTCATTGACTGTTAGGAATCTGGAGTGCACTGACTGGGAAAGTAATATCTCATCATCATTTAAAAAGGACAGGGATGGGTGCTTAAAATGTCATCTATTCAGGTTTACGAGCCTAATGCTGGAAAGTGGGATTTGTGTAGGTAGGTTGGTGCAGACTTGATTGCTGAGAGGGTCTTCTGTTGTGTTTGCCTGAGAACAAGAATAATAGTTGGCAAATATTTTGTGACTAAAAGGCTGTTTGTATTTTTTTTGTTACATGTCAATGATCTAGAATTAAATATATAGCAAGCTTGAGACTTTTGCAGATGGCAAATAAAATCCTCATGAAGAGCACTGCAAACTGGTCATGTGGGCAGAAAGTGACAAATGAAATTCAATTCAGAGGATTGAGGTAGTACATCTGGAGTTGATGAACAATACATAATTATATGCCATAACTGTTCAGGGAAGAGTAACGATAAATAAGGTGTATGTCCAAACATTCATGAAGATAGCCGAACAAGTAGATAATGTGGTTAAGAAATTAGAATGGGAGACCATGCAGAGACCCAGGTAATGTTTTGGGGACCTAGGTTTGAATGGTGGAATTTGAATTTATTAAAAATAAAGTCTGGAATTAAGAATCTAATGATGACTGTAAATGTTTATTTGATTTGTAATTAAAAACCCATCTGGTTCACTGTACTTCAGGAAAGGAAACTTCTGTCCTTGCCTGGCCTACATGTGACTCCAGACTCTCAGCAATGTGATTGCCAAGACAGTAGTTAAAAGTCAATTAGGGATGGAAAATAAATGCTGGCCTATTCTTTGAATTTTTAAAAAAAGATGCCGTTTTAGCTGAGGCAGTATAGGAAGGAAGTTATGCTTAAAAAGTATATCAGATAGGTTGCAGTTAAAGTTACCGTTCATCACAAATGATATATTGCACTGAAGAGGTTACAGAGGCCATTTCTCTGTACTCGGGAATGGAGAATTTTAGTTTTGTTTGGACGGGTTAGGTCTGTTTTCTTTGAAACCAACGAAGCTATAAAGCAAATGGTCCGAGACAGAGTGGACAGGTTTACTTTTTTCCGCTTGGAATACTGATCAGTCCCCATGGAGTACGGAGTTTAAGTAATTAGATTGATTAGAGGAGATTGAAAATTTTTCTTTCCTCCAAATGTTGGAACTCACTGCCTGAAAAGGTGGTTATGGCCGAAGCCCTCACCACTTTTTAAACAGCACCTGGATGCACTTCAAGTGTTGCACCCCACAGGGCCACACAGACTTAAGGGCTGGAATGTGGGATTAGGCTGCAGGGCTCATTTTTGGCTGGTGCAGACAAAATGGGCTGATTGTGTCCTGTGTTGTGAATTTTGAGTCTTATTGTAGTGGGGTGCATCAGAATTATACCTGGACTCCAAGGGTTAATATAAGATCGGGACTTGAGCACGAAAGTCAAGGATCACTTACCTGGTATCCAAGATGCCATCTTTCAAATGAGACATTAAATTATGATCCTATAGAATTATTTGGATGAAAGTAGGGTAGTTACTACTGTATTCTGATCACCATTTGTGGTTTGTGTTGGAAGGTGCTGTTGGCTGGGTAATCTTTACAGAATCCAAACTAAGATTGTGTCAACAGCCACACAATTCTGACAGCCATTGCTAGCAATTCCAGAGTTCATAAGTAACGAACTCTGCTTAACATCAAGCCCCAAATCAAAACTGAGTTTGTGGGCAATTTATTACTTACTGACTGCCTCTAGGTAGCACTGTTAATCGCTGAGCATCATTTTGCTGCTGATAGTGTAAATTGGAGCACTAATTGGCCAGATTGGATTCGTTCTGCCTTTTGTGGATGTTATTGGACGTGAAACATTTATAAAGTAATAGCATGTAAACAAAATTTGAGTTTTTTAAAAAATGTGCTATTAATGGAAAAGGATGAAAGAGATGTGGTCAGATGTTAAGCAGGGCGTTAAAATTCTTTGCTACTGAAGTTGTCCTAACTGGACAGTCAGCGATATTGGCATTACTGAAGCCACTTGCATGCTACATGGAGTTGAGAGTGGTCTCCAGTTTTAGTGGTATAGAGCTTAAAGTAATCCTGAGTTATCTGAGACTTGATGTTAAACAGTCACCGTATTTAAAAGCTTTGGAGTTGTTGATTAAAGGAGTCCAGGCTTTGTATTATCAGTATGTATGTGGAAGCTGATCCTGTTTAAGATAATGTTGCTAAAGAGTCTTGTTTAAGCGATTAATAACAGGAATCAAGAATGGAGCTTTGAGCTCAGTGGAAAAACATGTGACTCAGGATGAGAAATTTGAGTTATGCATCAGTATAATTGACTCTAACCACAAGGAAGAGGTGCACGAAAGATGCTGAGGAGAGAATGCTGGAAAACAGAAAATAAAAGCACACGGGTGAAGAGGAACCATAACCTAGCAGCCTCAAGAATTCCATAATTTTAGGCTGAATGATATGCAAGCTGAATCAAAGAATCACATGCTGACGATGTAATTGAATTGCAATGCTTTTAAGACCTTGGAGAGTAAAGGCAGTCTGAGAGAAATAGGGAATGAACCCAGGACTGATGATTTTGGAGAAAGTAAAGGTGGGGAAGGTGCTGTAGGAAAGAGATTATGTTGGTAATCAAGAGGCCAGGCAGAAACCATGTTCAAGAGCAGATTACAGAAGTAGGTGTTGGATCTTAGAGATGCAGGTGAAAAGGGAGAGTGTATGCAAAGGTGTATAGTATAGTGCAATGAAGCCTAAATCTTGAAGGGTTGCTGAGGGAAGTTGAGGTGATCCCCAAATTGGATGCTGTTCATGAATTGGTCTTGTGCCAATACGTTTGAGGTGAGTTTTGGAGTAATGAAAGGATTTGACCACACAGCAAAATGAGCAATGTTGGAGGAAGTAGTCCAAACTAGTGAGAAGTACTGAGACCTAAGTAAACATTTTTTTTCTGAAAACAGGTGCACTGCGTTTCATGAGGAGGATAATTGGACTAAAGGATGAATTTTATAATCGTTACATCACAAAAGGAAATCTCTTTGAACCAGTTATAAATGCCTTTTTGGATAATGGAACCAGATATAATCTACTTAATTCAGCAATAATTGAACTTTTTGAATTTATCAGAGTGGTAAGTTTCTATTTTTGTAATAGTTTGTGAAAAAACCTATTTTTATAGATTTCCTTAGACTAACTTCTGTAAATTAAGATTTTGTACCATTCTGAAGTATCTCGTCAGTGCTTTTTGTTGTCATGTTTGATACCACAGGAAGATATCAAGTCACTTACAACACATATAGTTGACAACTTCTACAAATCACTGGAACACATAGAATATGTGCAAACGTTTAAAGGACTCAAGCTGAGATATGAGCAGGAAAGGGATAGACTTCAAAATCAGAAACTGAACAGGTAGGAGAATTAATTGAATCCTTAATGTATGTTCAACTCTGATAATTGTGTTTCACATCATTGCTTAAAACTGTTGAATCTAAAAAAATCAGTTCAAGTTCAGTATATGTGTATACTCTAGATTGTGGCTTGTATGATGATAAACAGTATATGTTATAAATTATTAGACTTATTATCATCAGACATGTAATGAAATCTTAGTTTTAAGATTCTCAGACTGTGATCTGATTTGAAGAATAGAACAAAGTTTACATTTGGAATGGAGAGGAGCTGAAGGTAGGAACAAGAACATGAGCAAAGATTCATTCAGGCATTTTAAGTCAGACCAATTGCAGGTGCCATATAGAGAAGAGTGGTATGGTACTACCACTTCCAAATTTGATTACTGCATTCCATAGCAAATATTATTTGACAGCTCGCAACTCGCAATATGTTATTCCCAACCAGTGATCTTGCTGGCTGCATGGCAAGCATTTTGTTTTGCCAAATTGCCGATTAAATCTATATAAATCTGGTGCTTGATAGGTAAGTGGCTACTAACCAGTGACTAAAAGCATTATAGCATAACACTATGCACAAATGGAATACTTCATAATTTCAATTTGCTCATTTCAATCAAAACACAGTTCCTGTTGATCTAGTAGGTCCTTAATCTGACAGCAGATGGAATGATTAAATGGCAAGGCTAATAATGTTTGTGCTTTGAAAACTATATAGCCCAATTAGAGGTGGGAGGAGATCAAATGTTAAAACTAATTGACAAAATATTGAGCATGCATAGCTGTTGCATATTTTTTGGATTTCATGTGTTGTACTTAAATATCACAGATTGAATATTTTAATTTGGTACCAAAGGGGAGAAATTTTAATGTCACATACTGATTATCCAGGCTTGCAATGAAAACTTATGATTTACAACTTTGAACTATTTAAATTATTAATTGATTTCACTGGTGATTGCTAACTTTTTGGGTTGGTATTCCACAATTTTGGATTGGTGTTGGAGTTGTTACCTCGTTCTTGTCAAGTGACTGTGTTTTAAAAAAAATTAAGCACCCTGAGCTACCCGCAACTTTGTTCTGTAAGTGAGCAATATGTGCTACAGTGACTTTAGTTTTTTTTTTAATCATACCAATATAGGGGAATTGATAATACTAATATTGGTGAAGAATCTTCTCTCTAGCTGAAAATGAGGGCAAGTATTTTCATCAGGCTTGAATGCAGATCTCTGCTGAGATTTAACTTTTTTATATTTTTTTCACATTTACATTTCTTTAGTTTGCTAGTGTTTACTGTTCTGCTTTGGGGAGCTTGTTTTTGGGTGTAAATGCCAGGTGCTGGTCCACAGACCGTGCCTTACTGAAATTTGAACCAAAGTATTGACTGTGTAGGGAGCCTTTATAATAAAAGTCTTCACAATGCACTTAAATATGTTTGTGGAGTTTTCAAAAGAAAATGATAAATGTTGTTTTGCATTCATTTAGATAATGCTGTACTTATATATATATAATATTTAAGAAAACAACTTGTTTTTGAACAGGTGTTATAATTGACAGCAAAATTGTACAAAATATATCAACAAACTTGACAGTGTTGGTGTTTTCTTTGTTGGATGGAATTGCAGTATTATATAGTACTTCATGCAAGCTAGGAATTATGCTATAGGTTTCCAGTTCCATTTATCAATTAATTTCAGCAGAATCAACTTTGAAATGTTTCAGTTGGCTTACAGGCCATGCCAGCAAGTGTTTCTGTTTCTCAATCTACATATGAATTTAAGCTGCAAAGTGCTTGTTTGTCAACATCAGGTGAGCCAAGGATCAGACTTGGCTCTGATGCCTTCTGTAATAGAATGTTTGCCAATGCACACTGTTTTGGTTCATGCACGAAGTATGACGACTTGGGCAATGTGTCAGAGGGCTGCAGCCATCCACAAAGCCAAGCCACCAATAAGGATCAGCACCTTCTGGTGAAAAGGGAACAAGGAGGGAAGAAGAGGAGGAGAAAATGATGAAGGGGTTGTGTGAGGAATAAAATTGGGGCTTGACAGCTTGCATAACTCAGGTTAGCTGATGTGATTGTAAATATGTCTGTCTGTATGCAATATATAACTACCACAGTTTGGAAGTCAAAAAACAATTCAGCATTCTAGATAATATTTTGTGTTTTCTGTAGAACTTGGTGATTAATTGTTTATTATGTTTTTCAATTCAGCGTACCATCCATATTACGTAATAATCGGTACCGGAGAGATGCACGTGCATTGGAGGAAGATGAAGAGATGTGGTTTAATGAGGATGAGGAGGAGGAAGAAGGAGAGGCTCTAGTACCACATGTAGAGAAGTCCAAATCAGAGGATGATTATCCAGACAGTTATGGAAAATTTCTGGAAACTAAAAAGGGTACTGTAATTTTCAGCACTTTTGTAATACATTGTTGATGTACTGTACTTGATCTTAAAAATCTGAATGCTAAGTACCAAAAGGAAAGGTTGCTGCACATGCTGCTTCCATGTGCATTTAATTGTCTTGCAGTTTCCAGATGGTTGGCCTTTGACCCTCCATGTTGTTAGTGAGCGGTATATAGCTAATGTGCTGGTGTTTGAAGGTCCCCGTTTTGCTGTGAATATCTGTCAGCCTGTCACTGTCCATATATACTTAGAAGTCTGAAAACAACATGGAGAATTTTTGTCCATGTAGATACTAAATGGCTGGAATAAAATAAAATAAAATAAAATAATATATTTTAAATTTTGAAGTAAAAACCTGTCATCCTAACCATTTGATAGAAATGCATTTCTATCGTATTTTTGTTTGCAAGATGTTAGAGCATATCTTTAGTATTTCCTTCCTTAAAAACTTTAATCTGAATAAGTATTAATTCATTATTTTGATATAGTTGAAGTTATTGAAACGTTGCCTGTAGACTGTTTTAAATGTGAAAAATCCATGGAAATTAATTGCTCAAGCAGATTAAAAGTAGAATCTCTTGGGTTATTGATTGTGTGACTCATTAAGTTACTGCTGTTTTTGTAACTGACAGGATTTACCTACAATTATCTACAATTAGTTACAGCACAGAATGCTGGGAAGCTACGGTTTTGCTTTCACTACTCCTGTTTCTGGAGGAGTTTGAAATTTAAAACTTCCAGGCTTTCAGTCTATCTAATTCGAGAAAGTTTTTTTTATTTTGCAAAATTTGGAAATTTAAAATTGAGATTTCACTTATTTCTGTTTCTTATAACTGGTGTAGCAAATGTGGATGTTTGCAATATACTGATACAATATAAATAGTTGATAGTTAATCAATTAATAGTTAGTTAATCCTGTCATGTTGACTCTCACTTAATTTAAGGGAGCTTCCTAATTCTCCCATAGGATGCTATTTGGCCCATGGTGCCTCATCCATTTCTTTCAGCTACTGAATCCACTTACTCCACCCTTTATCAGGCAATGGATGCCAGATCAAAACTTGTAATGCTTCTTTTCTCCTCTCCTACCTTAAATGTGTATTACCTGGCTACTGATACAACGGCAAGTGTAAGTCATTTCTCTATGCTTTATAAAAACCCCTCATCTTGAATGCCTGATCTTCCTCTCTTTTTGGAAAATATATAGCAGAAGCTGGGCCAAACAATACCAAATTATGTTTTTGGAGAAACCCAGTCAGGCCGCATCTGCGGAGAGAAAAGAATTAACGTTTGAAACCCATGACCCATCTTCAGAATTGATTGTTGCCAGAGCTGCTGAGTTTCTCCAGCAATTCTGTTTTTGTCTGTTTCACATCTCTAGCATCTGCGATTCTTCATTACAGTGACTGGGATTGTCCATGTAACTGAAGGCTTTCAGCACCTATATTGCCTTTCCTGCATACTTTCACTTCACATCATTTGTGAACAGCATTTTATCTTCAATATATTTGCCCAATTCTACGTTCTGTGCCCCCACTAAAATAATGGGTTAGTGAGGGAAGTTTTCATAGACCATAGAATCCCTACAGTGTGGAAACAGGCCCTTCGGCCCAACAAGTCCACACCAACCCTCAGAGCATCCCACCCAGATCCATCCCCATATAACTCACGTCCCTGTACACTATGGGCAATTTAGCATGGCCAATCCACCTAGCCTGCACAACTTTGGACTGTGGGAGGAAACCAGAGCACCCGGATGAAACCCACTCAAACTCCACACAGACGGTCGCCCGAGGGTGGAATCGAAGCCAGGTCCCTGGCGCTGTGAGGCAGCAATGCTAACCACTGAGCCACCGTGCCAAAGTTTTGAAAAATAGGCAAAGCATTGTGTAGCTAGAGGTCTAAATAATAACCAGAGAATGATGGACCATACAACACGAGTGCAACAGCAAATAAGGCTACTTAGTGACCCAGAGAAAAATTGTAAAAAAAGTTTTTGTGTGAATACAAACAGCATGTGTAACAAGAGACAACAAGGTGCAGGGCTGGATGAACACAGCAGGCCAAGCAGCA